GTGGGAGAGGGAGAAGCAGGCTTCCTGCAGAGCAGGGAGCCCGATGTGGGGCTCGATCCCAGGACCCTGGGATCATGACCTGAGCCAAAGGCAGATGCTTAACGACTAAGCCACCCAGGCTCCCCCTATAAGTTTAACTTTCCATTCCTCTTTACTTCTTACTGCCAGGCTTCCCAGGATAATTTTCCTTCCTTCTAAAGAACATCCTTTAAGGGGGGCCTGGGTGGCTCAGTCGTTAAGCGTCTGCCTTCGGCTCAGGTCATGATCCCAGGGTCCTGGGACCGAGCCCCGCATTGGGCTCCCTGCTTGGCGGGAAGCCTGCTTCTCCCCCTCCCACTCCCCCTGCTTGTGTTCCCTCTCTCGCTGTCTCTCTCTCTGTTAAGTAAATAAATAAAATCTTAAAAAAAAAAAAATCCTTTAGTATTTCCTTCAGAGTGAGTTCATTGGTGACAAATTCAGTTTTGGTTTGCCTGAAATTGCCTTTATTTCATCTTTATTTCAGAAAGATACCTTGTAATTAAAAGCAGGCATTTTCAGTTTTTAAAAAATGTAGGTTTAAGTAGAGTAATATCTTCGGGAGTTAAGACTTAAGTCTTCACTTTTTTGAATTCTGAAGAGAAGCATTTTTATGACCAAATGATTTCTTACTGGTCTAATTTAATGACACACCAGATACTACCATTTACTTTTGCTCATTTTTGTTAATTTTCAGGTTGGTCTGGGACAACTGCATCTGCACGGAGGGCGTGGAGTAGAACAAAATCATCAGGTAACTTTCTTGTTCCCAGGGCTTTGTACTTCATGTTGTAGAAAGAAACAGTGCTCTAGATGTATTTTTTATCAATGACAATATCAAGTTCATGTTACTTAGTCATCACAAATGATCTTTCAAGATCCATCTAACCCCTGAGAAAACTGAAGACTAAAAATGTGATTATACCTCATAGTTGTGGGAAGGGTTTTTTAAATTCTGAAACCTAGTTCTCAATATTGCCAAAAATACATACACAGTATCTTGGTTTCCTATGGTTATGTAGTAGAAGTATGTCTTAAAACTCCTATTAGAAAATATTTCAGGGGTGTCTGGGTGGCTCAGTTGGTTACATGTCTGCCTTTGGCTCAGGTCATGATTCCAGGGTTCTGGAATCAAGCCTTGCATCCGGCTCCCTGCTCCTTGGGGAGCCTGATTCTCCCTCCCCACCCATGAATAAATAAATAAAATCTTTGAAAAAAAAAATTTCATGGAACCGAGAGAAGTCATTGTTGAGTTTGTGAGAAATTAGGAGTATACAACTATAGCAGTCAGATCTGTACCCAGCTTTTGTGTGCTTTATGCCCTAAATCTTGCTCATCTCTTCCCTTGTATCCGTCAGTACACCTGCCACTTGTAGTCATCTCCTGCTTGCATTTACTAAGCAGCAGCCTATGTTTGTAAACCACACACCTAATTCTGTGGTTCCCTTGCTTAAAACTCGAGTGGTCCATGATTATCAGTTGCTTAAAAACCAAAACCTTTATTTAACATGATTTCCAGGATTTGTACCAGTCTCTGTTTCCCTTCCCAGCCCCTTGCTTTCTGAGTCACAGGCACATTTACCTTTTCTCAGGTCTTTGAAAATATGAAGAAACTATCTCAGTATTTCTGGAATGCTAGTCCCTCTGTCTAGAGTGAATATTATCCCACCTCCTTTCTTTACGTAGCTAATTCCTACTCATCCTCCAGAATTCATCTCCAATCTCTTCCCCTAAAATGTTTCTCTAGTCTCCTAACCCCACTCCAGGAATAGGTCATGTACCACAGTTAAAATTTCTGAAAATGTGTATTTATGGCCCTTACCCATTGTAAATTTGCCAATTATGTAATTAAGTTTTTTCCTCTGCTAGAACTTAAGTTGCAAAAGAACACGGACTTTGCCACTTTATTCCCAGCACCTGACGATGCCTAGCACATAATGAGTTCTTGATAAATGTTATTCTGCCATAACAGTTAAACATTCTAATTAAGGTTATTTCATTTCCATATCTCATCAGCTTTAAGAAGTAGATCATAAAATACACTTGTCACTTAAAACTATACCAAATACCCATGGTTTGTTTTTTTTAATTCAGATGGCATTTTGACTGCTTTCATTATCTTTAGGTCATTCAAATGTATGTCATTAGGCCAGATGAACTGGCTAATAAAAATGTCAGGTGAGATAATTCCGGATGACAAGTTTGCTGCATACCTTTTATACAAGTTTTGGGATATCCTTGGTGTATGCTGCTTACTTGTGAAATGCCTACACAACAATAAATTTTTTCACCAGCTTCTCAGAAGGAATAAAAGGAGTTCCCAGTATATAACTGCATTAATTCATCAATAGTTCGTGTGCCTGCTATGTGCCTATTCACTGCTAGGCATTCAGAATACAATGCTAGACAAAATAGCTTTGGTCTTTTTGTCCTTACAGAGCGTCAAGTTTAATAGAACTAGAATATTAGGTATTTTTTTAAATAATCACACCAACAGACATGTAATAAATTGTGGTTGTTGTTATTAAGGAGAATGAAAGGGTCCATAACAGGTTAATAAGTGGGAGGTGGCAGTTGTCTCTGAGGAGAAATGGATGACATTTAAGTCGAGCCTGGAGGTAAGATCATTCCAGACCAGAAAGAGGGGTATGTGTGTAGGTCCTGAGGCAGGAAGGACCAGAGTGCAGAGAGCAAGCTGAACAGTACTGAGGTAAACAGTGTCTGATCACGCCAGACTTCGAGGGGCTGTAAGGACCAGCATATTAAGTGTTTTGAACTGTTGCTTTGGGTGACCGAAGACTAAAGGCAGGAGACCAAGTAGGGGAGTGTTCCAGAAGTTCGGGGGGAGATAATGTAACTTAGCCTAGAATTGTGGTCGTGGAGGATCATGGGTGGATTCAAGCCGAATTTGGTGGTGAAAGTTACAGGATTCAGTGGTGGATTAGGCGTGAAGAGGGGTGGGTACCTTGAGCAACCAAGAGATGTCATGCTGCTATTTAAACTGAGATACTGCCATATTACAAGATTTTTTAAATGTTCCGAAATGATTATTTTGGTTAAAAGCCAAAGGCAGATTCTGTAAAAACTAATTATTTTAATAAATTCTTTTCTCACAGAGAGCATTTGACTACTTCAATTTAGCAGCTAATGCTGGCAATTCACATGCGATGGCCTTCTTGGGAAAGGTACTGTATGTTCTGTGAATGTATTACATAATCGCAAGAGGTGTTTGCATAATAAGCACATGTTGTCAAACTCAACCCCCAAAAAACAAATAAGTCAAAAAATGGGGAGAAGACACTTCCTAAAAGAAGACATACAAATGGCTAACAGACACAGGAAAAAATATTCATCATCATTAGCCATCAGGGAAATTCAGATCAAAACCACACTGAAATACCACCTTACACCAGTTAGAATGGCAAAAATTGACAAGGCAAGAAACAACAAATGTTGGAGAGGTTGTGGAGAAAGGGGAACCCTCTTACACTGTTGATGGGAATGCAAGTTGGTACAGCCACTTTGGAAAACAGTGTGGAGGTGCCTCAAAAAATTAAAAATAGAGCTACCCTGTGATGCAGCAGTTGCACTACTGGATATAGATGTAGTGAAAAGAAGGGACATATGCACCGCAGTGTTCATAGCAGCAATGTCCACAATAACCAAACTGTGGAAAGAGCCGAGATGCCCTTCAACAGATGAATGGATAAAGAGGATGTGGTCCATATATACAATGGAATATTACTCAGCCATCAGAAAGGATGAATACCCAACTTTTGCATCAGCATGGATGGGACTAGAGGAGATTATGCTAAGTGAAATAAGTCAAGCAGAGAAAGTCAATTATCATATGGTTCCTCTTATATGTGGAATATAAGGAATAGCATGGAGGACATTAGGAGAAGGAAGGGAAAAATGAAGGGGGAAATTGGAGGGGGAGACGAACCATGAGAGAATAAGAACGCCAAGAAACAAACAGGGTTTTAGAGGGGAGAGGGGTGGGGGGATGGGTATTAATGAGGGCACATATTGCATGGAGTACTGGGTGTTACACGCAAACGATGAATCATGGAACACTACATCAAAAACTAATGATGTACTGTATGGTGACTAACATAACATAATAAAAAAAACAAAAACAACAAAAATAAAATTTTTTTCTATTTTTCATAAATCTTTTAAAAAAAAATAAACATGTTGTAGTTAAAATCTACAGTTTACCAAAAATAAACTGGAAATAAAATTTCCAATACAAGGATATTGTGTCTTGTGGTAAGGTAAGTGATTTCGAGGCATTTTCTTAGGTAACATAAGGGAAACAGCATTTCCTCATCAGTATGTTAATTTTCTGTCGAAATTAGCTATCACTGAGCTCCTACTTTGTGTGTATCATACACAATAATGAGGGATTTTTTTCTTTTTGCTGTGCAGTAGTTTTTTTTTTTTTTTTTGCTAAGTCTGTCATAATTGCCTGTTTTCTTCTGTGCTGAGTAGAGGCCACTAGAGTTTGTCAGCATTTGTCTGCAGGCTTTAATCATCCTCAGTGTGACAGCCATCACTCACCTGTCAGTGTGGTTCTTTTCTAAGCAAGGAAACACCGAAGTCTGGAGACCTAACAAGTAGATTCCATGTGACATGGCACCGTTTCAGAACTTCCTTTTTCCTTATTTTGAAAACAAATACAGTATACATCAGTGGATATTTACATCCATAACCAAATCCTAAGGTTAGGATGCTCAGGTAGAATAAATCTGTCACAAAGGTTCTTACAAATAGAAAAAAATCTCATCAGTATTTGCCACATAATCACAACCAGTTATTTGGGGCCTGAGAACCGTACATGTAGACATCCCAACTATTATAGCATCGAAATTAGTATTCCCCATCTGTTTTTGTTAAGCCTTTAAGAACTTTCCATTCTAGCCCTTTCAGTTCTTGCTCTGAATTCCTAATTAACCCTATCTCAAAAAAAGATTTCCATTTCCGTTTTCTTAATGTATACGTGGATGAAAACAGTCTCAGTCATTCTGTTCTTCTTTCTCTTGGCCATTTTATCATGTTCTGTACCTGGTACTCTAATCATTCAGTGCTTGAAACCTTTTAAAATAACCTTTTAGTTATTTCTTTTCCTGAACTTAAGACCTATCCTGTATCTTACCCTGAGGGAAGTCATGGTGGAAGAGAGAGGGAAGTGGGCATTGCCAACAGCACCCCTTTCTCTTGCACTGACCCCAAGCAACTCAACAACCATTTGTCTGCCCTGGGATAGAGTGAGAGAAAAGATTCACCTTGAGTTAAAGGTTTTCTCCCCTGAGATTGATCTGTGAACTGATTTTAATATATTCACATTTGTAAAAAAGTCAAATTTGTTATGGCAAAGAAGATATAATAATATTGTTTACTTTTAAGGTTTTGCTTTTAAATCTAAAATGTCATATGGGGAATTTTAAACTGTTCAAAGATTTCATGATATCTAACAAAAACCAGAATGAGATGAGAGAGAAATACATTATAGGTGAGAGGGGTATAGCGCTTAATAAAATTAAATTTGGCTCTGTTTTCCAGATGTATTCAGAGGGAAGTGATATTGTACCACAGAGTAATGAGACAGCTCTTCACTACTTTAAGAAAGCTGCTGACATGGTAAGACCTCATGATTCAGTGTATTGAAATATGTGCCATATTATTATTATTTTAATAAATAAGTCTATTATACTGAAAGATTAGTGTTAACCAACTCATGCCTCAAATTATTGAAAGCACTTATGTAAATGTGATTCATGGGAATGGACTGGCTAGAAAAAAAAACTTTCCAGTAAAAAGTAATTTATTGGGGGGGGGGCAAATTATTGAGTATTAAGCCTCTGTTTCAATTTCATTGAGAAGTTTCCTCATCAGGGAAATACTGATTTTAGTAATGCAATTGAGAGTTATTATAATTTGCCCTATTTGTTTTGCAACTTGAGGTTTAAAACTTACATAACTGGGTACTTTCGATAACCATAAATATAAAACTTAGGCTTTCTTTGGCCCAGAGAAAACTACATATGAATATTTAAGACCCTATATGCCTCCATTGTGTATGGTTATCTCCTCGCCAGCTACATACTACTTCAGTTCCAAATGTCAGTTGAGTATTTCCCAAGGGAGTGCTGTGACACTTTTTAAAAGATGGCCCTGTCCGTCCAAGTTTAGGTTGAATTTTAGATTTTTCTCTTTCAGGTCTCAAAACAATGATTATCTTTGTTCTGTGACACTCCAGTAATCTTAAGTGTATTTTGCCACCTGATCCCAATATTGCTGTTTTACATGGTGGTTGACTTTCCACCATGGCATCTTCCTTCTTTATTGGGGAGGGAAGTTACCAATGAAAAACTACCCAAAAAGTGACCTACTTTTAATTTTAAGAAGAAGAACTACATTAGTCATGTGTTCTATCATAAACTCATGGAACAGATGGTCATAAGATAAGTCACCAAAATTTAATTCTAGATAAATGTACTGTTTCCTCTTTTTCAGCAAATTACTGAAGACCCCCCCAATACTCGGAAAGTCAGTATTACATTTAGCCTGCTGGGAAGGAGAATTTTGAATTGAAAAAATGCAAAGACATTTTTTGAATATGCTTGTTAACTCATTTCTTTGGTAGTCATTTATTCTTGGCTGTTTTTTGGGGTTTTTTTTGTTTTTTAATGAGTCCTTTCCCTCTTTTGTCTCTGATTTGCAGGGAAACCCAGTCGGACAGAGTGGACTCGGAATGGCTTATCTCTATGGGAGAGGAGTTCAAGTTGTAAGTTTTCAGTCTTAACATTCTGACTTAAACAAGCAGTCAGCTGGTGAGGTAGGGAAGTATAACTAGCTAGCTTCCAGCCGGTTTGAAATCCTTCCTTTATGTCTAGAGCTGAACCTTTTCCTGTTCTCTGAGTACCCAGCACCCTCCATACTAACTGCCTTCTTCGAATGGCTCTGTCTCTGACACTTTCCGCTAAAGATGTGAAGCTAGTTCTCATTCTGTCTGTGCTGTCTGCCCTACCTATGCTTCCATCTCTCCAAGACTTCTCCCTCCCTACTTCTTCACTCGAGCCTGAGAAAGTGCTTGTCCCTCCCATTTAGAAGGACAAAAGCTTTCTGTTCTATTCTTTGCCCTTCTAGCTACTACCTCTCTTCTCTCCAGTCCGTCACTACAAAGCCAGGTTTCTCCAAACAATGAACTATATTAGTGGCCACCACTCACTCTTCAGGTCTCAGCAGTCAGGCTTCTGCTTCATGTAACTGCTCTATGCAGGTCACCAGTAACTTCCCAAATGTCAACTCCTATTGACTTTTTGGTTCTATGTCACTTGAACTCTTTCTTCCCTGGAATTCTGCAAGTTCTCTTGGTTTTCCTAGGCCATTGCTTCTCATTCTTCTGTACTACTTCCTCATGTTGGATTCCCCGAGATTCTCATTGCTGCCCTCTTCTCTATGATCTCTCCAAGTAAAATGTATTTAATTTGGGCCTGCCATGAAGAGTTAGGTTTAGGATTCCAATCTGTAGGTGTTCCCTGGCACAGAAGACAGTAGTGTGTTCTCAAGTTGATTCCTTCTAGTCATTTTAGGACACTAAAATTCAGTAGTGATCTTTGTTTTAATTTTTCTCAGAGGATAGTTATGATATTTGAAATCTAATAATCAGATAGTGCTTGATAAGCTACACAGGGAAAGAATGAATAAGGAGAAAATAATTTTCCTTTTTTAATGTTAGAAAAATTGAAGTTTAAAAAAGATTTGTTGGTTAATAGGAAAGATAAGAGTGTTTCTTAAGTCCTGGTCTTGTGTTCCAAGGTTTCTCCAAAGAACCAGAACTAGCGTTGTGTAGGCTTTCTGAGAGTGAACATACAGATTGTTCACAGTCTTAAATATATTAACTCCTCTGTGACATAGACTACCATCTGTATATTATAAAAAAATTAGAAGGTAGTCTTTTTAATGGCTCTTTGAGAATATCTTATATGTGTTTTTTTAACTTTTTAATGAATGACTAACTTCTGAGTATATCAACCTTTTGAGTTTTCTCATCGTGTGACCATGTGACCTCTTTTCCTACAGAATTATGATCTGGCACTAAAGTATTTCCAGAAAGCTGCTGAACAAGGCTGGGTGGATGGGCAACTGCAGCTTGGCTCTATGTACTATAGTAAGTAACGTTGGCATTAAACGCTGTGTACACCGACAGCTAAATTACTAATTTTCCACCAGATGCCACTGTGATAAGTGAGAGCTCTCGCATTCTGGCTGATTAATATTCTCCCAATTCAATGATTGTGCATCTTGTTTTTCATTGTAAATTATGTTAATCTGTATAATATACTAAACTGCATTAGTAGGATTCACATCTTTCCTGAGTAAGAATTCTGAATTTCATTTGATTTTACTCATTATTTAAGGCTTCTCTGGTGCTTCAGCTAAATCTTCTTTAAGACTATTTCTGACCTTTCGTGTGATTTTCCTTACAGATGGCATTGGAGTCAAGAGGGATTATAAACAGGCCTTGAAGTATTTTAATTTAGCTTCTCAGGGAGGCCACATCTTGGCTTTCTATAACCTAGCCCAGATGCACGCCAGCGGCACAGGTGTGATGCGATCGTGTCACACTGCAGTGGAGGTAAGGGCTTTTCTACTGACTTGTACACAGGAAATTAATTTTCTCAAGAGGAAAATCTGTCGTTTTAATTCTGCTTTTTTTGCATGATTTTTTCTCAAGTAGAAACAGACTCAACCTATTAGTTTTGATACAGTGAGGGAAGACTCAGGGCCTGTGTGTCACTGTCATGCTTCTTTATCTCATGTGTCTCTCCCCACTAGAATCCGCATCTATGAGGACAGGTGGTGGTGTCTGCAGTTTCTTTAGCACCTAGAAAGCATCTGAAACAACACCAAAAAAGTCTGTGTTGAATGAATGTTGTAAAGGGGAATGCTGATGTCTCCCAAAGGGAGCTTTTCCTTTTAGCTCTTTCATAACTGGCACTTCACAGTGGCATTTGATGAATGCTTGGCACAATTTCCAAACTGCTCTGTGCTTCAGTTTCCTTGGTCGTGAAACGGGGCATTTAATAGGACTTACCTCATGGAGTGGCCCCCATGACCTCATGGGAGCTCTAAGGGAAACTCTGTACCTACTGTACATAAAGCAAGCACTAGAACAGTGCCTGGCAAGGGTAATGATATATAATTGTTTACTGTTATTTTTATAAACCTCTTCTAAAGACTAACTGAAAACTTCAAATAAAATCCCAGATTTGTGTATGTATTTAATAAAGCTACCAGGGATGCAGAGAGGTAGCCCCACAGTCACTTATAGCCAAAGGGCAAAACTGATTTTCTGGGATATGTTCCTTATTTTGTTACGGGTTTTTTTCCCCCGTTCTCACAGTTGTTTAAGAACGTCTGTGAACGAGGCCGCTGGTCCGAGAGGCTTATGATGGCCTATAACAGCTATAAAGATGGCGACTACAATGCCGCCGTGATCCAGTACCTCCTGCTGGCCGAACAGGGCTACGAAGTGGCGCAGAGCAATGCAGCCTTCATTCTCGATCAGAGTAAGGTTCACTGCCGTCCTGCCTTGCCTTTAGAATACAGAGGCTCCCGTCAGGTCACCTGTTCATGCTTAAAGCGAAAAGGCACAAAGAAAAACCTCTTTATTGTTGTAAATTGACCTTAACAACACGTGAGTAATTTCCCTCAGCTCCCTAAGCCAGCCAAGTTAGCGTTATATGTTGGAGTTGACAGTAGAAATCGATTTGCCATTCGTTTCACAAATCCATCTTCCAAAATACAGCAGATATAACAGCATTGTTTTTCCAGCAGTACGTAGGTCCGTAGAAGCAGCTCAGTAGTTAGTCTCCTTATTAGTTCTGTGGATACAACATGTTGCAGGGAAGTAGTGTGTCCTGGATAGAGGCAGTGATTCCTTTGAACTCGGTATTTTATTCTAATACTAGTTTAATGTCAATACAGTGCTTTTTTCATTTAATATTTGCCATATCCCAATTCTTGTTTAAATTATGTTCTACATAGCCACTCTGGCTTATAAATGAACCCTAACAGTCTAGTGCCTGTCTTTCTTAAGTGCCTGATTTGTATTTACTTCATCTTCCCCATAGGGGAAGCAACCATTGTGGGGGAGAACGAGACTTACCCCAGAGCTTTGCTGCACTGGAACAGGGCCGCCTCTCAAGGTGAGTGACCGCTACCTTCTAGGGAAGAGTTTCACCCCGGGACCTTTCTTTACTGTCTCCGTTTTGTTTTCTTACCTTCCACAAAAAACTAAATAATGTCATTCGTCAACTTAAAATTAAGCAGACAGACCCACAATATTGCTTAACTTGTTTGCATCATGATTTATTTATTTTTAAAATGGCAATTCTAGTCTCTGGGTTTCTAAATTGAATTGTGAGGTCTTTGTACTGGACATTTATATCATGTTATGGTTTACTCTTTGATTTTTAGTGTGAGGCCAATATTCTGTGTAAAATGAGAATCGAATAGAATATATAATAAAATACTAGTCTAAAACCCCTTTTTTTGAGTATTTCTTTCTCACACATACTCCTTTCAACATTGCCTGGCTGTCCCTTCTTCAAACCTGAACAGTGGTCCAGTTGAACTACTACTTTACAGTGTAAATGGCAGATAGATTAGAACATGCCCATTTTGAAGAGTATTATCATGAAGTAGGGATTACCACCCACCTTGTTTTACCTCTCCCTGACTATTACAAAGCCTTCCTCAGAAGAGCAACACCTCTAGTTTAAGTCTTTATTGAATTTATAGCTTGGTTGAAGGATTAGTTGTAAAGTTTATGTACTATAAATTAAAATTCCGTTTTATGTAAGCATATAAACAGGAGGAGAAATAACAGTTTGGTCTGTTTTAAACACGCTTGACTTACTGGCAGTTCTGCATTTAATTTTTGTTCAAGGCTATACCGTGGCTAGAATTAAGCTTGGAGACTACCATTTCTATGGCTTTGGCACTGATGTAGACTACGAGACCGCATTTATTCATTATCGTCTAGCGTCTGAGCAGCAACACAGTGCCCAGGCTATGTTTAATCTGGGATATATGCATGAGAAGGGACTAGGCATTAAACAGGTGAGTGTGGCTTCAAAACAAATGTTTGAATGGTGTAACTGATTTGGGGGAATCGTCTACATTTTTATAGAAAATAGGCTTTCTTTGGAATGTGCTCACATTTTAGGTACTAAGTTATAAGACAGTTTTGTAATATTTCAGAAGCCCATCCTTGCATCTCTTTCATCATCAAACACACACTGCTATATTTAAGATAGTAAGCCAAAAACATTCATTAAAATGGAAATGCAGTGCTGCCTTGATTGGTAACTCCTTGCTTGAGAAACTATCTGTCCATCTTCAGCCAAATTCTATTGTTTCTAAATTATTTCAAAATAAGATGTTTGCTACTGATAAATGTATTTCTGAGTCTAATGCCTTCCTAATACAGTCTAACATTCTTTAGACCTATGGTTTGCCTCTATGCCCTTAAGAGGATTTTGAAAAGCTGTGTGTTCTCCTGTACATGTTTAATTTGACATTAAAAATTATCATCATAAGCTCCAAAGTGTCTAAATTCTAGCTATTTTAAGCACCAACACTTTATAAAAAATGACTAAATTACTCTAAATACCAAAATTTTAATATAATACCCTCATTATTAATTTTTTAAATACACAGCAAATTTATTAAATGAAAATGGTATCTTTTCCTTTTCTTCCTGAATTCATATTTTCAGTCCATTATTCCCGTAGCATCCCATACTAATGTGATGTTTTTAGTGCTTAGATATTTTACTGATCATTTGATCATACTTATCTGAAACAAAGTATGTTAAATTCAAATTTTAAATTTTATTTCCTATGATTATAGGCTCTAAGTGTTAAGAAAAGTTCATGAGATATTATTAGTCATAGTTGGTTAATTATCAATACAGTGATGAATAAATCAACATAATACTACAAATTTCACAAAAATTTTACTTTTGTGATTACTGAAAATGCATCATTTAATGAGATGAATGCAGCATCTTTTAAAAATTAGTTTAAGCATCATTGAGTAGATTTAGCATTAATTTCATTTTTCATTTTTATAAATGTATGACTGGAATCTTGTTCATCTAAACAAGTATATACGAAAGGGAGGAATCTTATAGCAAGGTCACTTAATTCTTTAAACTGCTTTAGAGTTACATGCTGTCTCTTTCGGGCTACTGTAACAGAATGCCATAGATTGGACGGCTTAAATAACAGGATTTCTCACAGTTCTAGAGGCCGAGAAGTTGCAGTACACGGTGGCAGCGGATTTGGTGTCTGGTGAGGCCCTGCTTCCTGGGCCAGAGAGAGCTGTCTTCTGGCTTTTGTCCTTAACCTGAGGAGAGAGCAGGAAAGGAGCAGCAAGCACTTAGAGACTCTTTTAAGGATGCTAATCCCATTCATGAGAGCTCTGCCCTTGTAACCTCATCTAATCCTGGTAACCTCTCAGAGACCTCACCTCCTAATCCCAACCATCGCAGGAGGGAGTAGAGTTTCCACAAAGAAATTTAGGGGGGACGCAAACATTTAGTCTATAACATGTGCCAAAAATCAGAGTGATCTGTCATTAAAATTATTTTCAGTGATCTGTCACTGACAACTTAGTTAGGTCCCCCTTCAGTCTTGTTGAAAGCAAGGAGTTGGAAACTAGAGACTTGCAAAAGATGTATTTATTCCCTGGTCACTGGAGTCATTCACTTTCTCAGTTCCTGGGTGAAGTGCCGAAAGGCTTTACCAAGATTTATCAAATAACTAATTATATTCCTTACTCTGTCACTTAGAGACACTTTATTGACCTAATGTGCTTAAGGTCAAGTTGTTCATTTTCATTTTGCTAATGCACTATTTTTTGTCCAAGTGCCTTTTATTTTACCACATTTGAATATTAATTTTTTTAATTCCCATATGTAAATTTTTATATTTTACATTTATATTAATATTAGGTACTTGAATATAGTTTTATCAAGACTCTAGAACTGCAGGCAGAGTGCATTCAGCTTGGGGAAGATTCTGCCATGTTATCAAGTTACTGAAGCCTCTCTTGGTTGTCAGACCAGTCAGCCAGATCAGACTTGGCTTCTGTCAACAAGTCTGACTTCACTTTTTTAATTCAAATGAAATTAATATGTGTTTGATGACTAACACAAAGATTGCACATAAGTTATGGTTTTTATGGGATACACTTCATTATAATTTACTAAAAGCAATCAAAATTAAAGTAACAACTCTGTTTTTGTAATAGATTAGAAGCTGAGAAAATTAATCAGTGTGCCTTCTCATAATTTAATTTGTAATATAATGTATAGCTTATATAAATTCTTGTGAATAAAGACTGATAAAAAGCATAGTATTTCTTTGATAAGAATGGGGGTAGGGAACTATGGGATGCAACTTTTAAGAATAATCATGTATAAAAATCAGAATGATTCCATTAGTTTTTGTAAGACATTATGATCACCTTTTCCTATTTCTTCCCATTTTTTAAAGAAAGAAGCATTCATACTACTAAAAACTATTCAGTTCAGCATCTAGTACAGTTAGAAAAATATTAAGGATTAAATGAGGATTGATTATATGGAATAAATAATTCAGGATGTAATTGATAAGATTTAATCACCTTATTAAATCATCCGCACAGAAGTCAATGTTATCACATAAAGTTTGATCCATGATCTTGAAAAATGTGGCAGTCCAAAAAAAAACTTGTTACACTTTTTTAAAAACCAGACTAACTATACTTTTAGTGTTAGTAACAGAAGAGAACCTTCTTTTTAACTAATGACACACCCTAGGGATAGTTTAGGGAACAGCTGAAAGTAACTGCTTATATTGAACTATGTGGAAAAAGTCCTTTTTAATGTTAACCTTTCTTTCCCGTGTCTTATGGAATTCTTTCCTTGGAGCTTGGTTGTTCTTTGACAATAGTCAGGGCATAGAAAAAGTGAGGTTGTAAAATGAAAATTTCACAGCGTCCCACTGTGCCGTTCTGCTTTTATCTGCATGCAGAACACTCCAGTCTGGGCCAGAATTCATAATGACTTCTTTCACCTTTTACAGAAATATGTCTAAGGCAGGGAAATGCAGAATGGGTTTACTATCCATGCAAGTACCCTCTGAGAAATCATGAGCATGTTACTAGGTTTGAAGATTACTGTTCCAAACTGAAACCAGAAATTGCTTATACTGACTGAAGTTTTAAGAAAAATTAAATGAGACTTACAGGTGGCCCCCGGAGATCTTAAGATTGACCTGTGTTATGCATAGGGATGCAGCTGTATGCAGCACATCTGCACAGCAAATGGGATGTCAGGCAGGAGGAACATGAGCTAAATCTTAAAATTTTTCAGTTAAATTTTTCAAAATTAAGCAGTTAGATAATTAAAGAAATATTACCCAATTACAGGTTGGGTTTTTCCTTTAGGTATGGGAAATTTTGAAATGAAAACTTGAAAGGTAAAATAAATCTTCTAAATATATAAACTGATACCCGAATGTATAAGCTAAATAATACTATTTTACTTATTTTAACAAGAGATGAATTTTGGTTTATTGCCTATATTCTAGGATATTCACCTTGCGAAACGTTTTTATGACATGGCAGCTGAAGCCAGCCCAGACGCACAAGTACCAGTCTTCCTAGCACTATGCAAATTAGGTGTGGTGTATTTCTTGCAATACATACGGGAAACAAATGTAAGTGTTCCATGCCTCTTTTTTTTTTAAGATTTATTTATTTTAGCATAGCATGCGCGAATTGGGAGAGGGGAAGAAGGAGAGAATCCTCAAGCAGACTCCCCGTTGACTGTGGAGCCTGATGTGGGGCTCAGGCCCAGGACCCTGAGATTGTGACCTGAGCCGAAATCAAGAGTTAGCCACTTAACTACTGAGCCACCCAGGCAACCCTCCATGCCTCTTGTAATTAAAATACAAATGATGTAAGCTGCTCAGTCCAGAGGTTTGTATCTAAAAAGTTTGGGGAGAGGGGAGGAGTGTCCTGCCAGTGTCTGGTCCTATCCCTTTTTCCCCCAGGTGAAGTACCAGGAGATTGCATCGGGTGTGGGGTGAAGGTAGCCACAGAGCAGTACGTTTCCAGGTAGCATTGGATGGTGGCTCCAGGTGCTAAATCAGTTTTCATTGATGCAAGTGTCTTCTGGTTTAGAGAAAACTGAGACCAACACTTGGCAATTTGAAACAGTAGTTAACTAAATTCAGTAAACAGTAAATCCGATGACTGCCCAGCAATGACTCAGCCCAGTCCCTTAAAAAGAGAATTTTTTAAAAAGGGAGAAGTAGAACCTGAGAACCTGCCCAGGCTGTTGTACTTCAGGTTCTTCTGCTGGTGTAAAACATGTTTAAAACACCACTAGAACTTCGTTCTGTAAAAATACCTTGAACTACTTAATTAAGCTAACCCACCCAGATAAGAGGTGGGTTCCCTATTCCTTTCAAAACTACTGACCTAAGTTACCTGTATTTCTGGGTAGGTGCTCTTGGGTTCTCCTGTTTCACATTTGCTTTACCTCTACTTCCTCATAATACCTGATGAAGTATTTAACCCCAAAAGTCCTAAAACATATGCAGAAACAAAGGCTATTTAACTTGAATTCACTCCAGACCAGGATAGGATATTTCAACCTTTTGTTAAGATCTTTTAGGACAGGTTGATACGCCCTTTCAGCATTCGATTCCAGAACGGGCTTTCCCTCCTGTGTGACACAGATGTAACTGGAGTCCATGCTGCTCCTTTTTGCAACCCTATCCTGTGCTGCCGAGGGCCTCCATGCATGGTGCTCTGGAGGACCGGAGGTGTCGGACTCCGTCCCCCTGATTGCTTATACATTTGTAATGGCAAATTTATAGTTGCTTGATAGCATGAACCAGGCATGCTGTACCCTCCAGTAATGGAAACAATCCTTGTTCCTTTAATTGAAAAGCTAACAGCATGACAGCCTGCTGTTTCTCTCTGTCAGGGCTATTGCAGACCCTTGTCTCTCACAGTTTGTAGGACTAAGAAACTGCTGATTATAGTCCAGGATTTGGTCATGCATTATTCGATCTTTGTTGTTTTTTTAATACAGAAGTATAAAGAAGACAATAAAATGCTCCATAATCCTACCACATAGATATTCCAACTAAAAAAGAGAATGATAAGAGTGAGAAAGTCAGACGGTACAGAAAACACAAAATCTCCTATCACAGGTCCCACCCCAGGAAACACAGTTAATAGTTTCTTATAATCTTTTTCCAGAAAAATTTAGCACCTGTACCTACAAATATATATTACGGGGACATTTTAAATATAACTTTATTTCATTATAAAGGATTATACCCCATGTTTATTTCCTTCGTAGGTAGGTAGCAGTCCGAAAATATCAGGAATGACTTCTCTTAAGTGACACTAAAACGAAGTATCATAGATGAAGAACATAACTTTTAAGTTCAAATTCAGGTGTTAAAGATTTAGTGAAATCCTATTAAAAAGCATTAGTCAGGGCGCCTGGGTGGCTCAGATGGTTAAGCGTCTGCCTTCGGCTCAGGTCATGATCCCAGGGTCCTAGGATCGAGTCCCGCATCGGGCTCCCTGCTC